AAGTCATAACATGTAGACTACTGTAACTGTCCCTGGCTTAAAACTCTTCAGTAGATTTCCCATGGCATTTACGATAAGATCTGAGACACCTATAGGCCTACAAATCTTTACCTCATCTGGCCACTGTTTTCCCCTTCAGCTCCATCCACACCCACTTCTTGCCAGTGGCATGTTCTCAACAACCTGCTCCCAGCTAACTCTTGCTCAGCTGGGACCTTTAGGTCTCAGCTTAAACTGTGCTTCCTAGGAGAATCCTTCCTTGATCCCAGTAGGCTCCTTTGTTACGTTTTTTGGGGGTTTTGGGGTTTTCTTTTGTTTTCTTTTTTTTTTTTTAGGTGGAATTCACAGAACAGAAAATTAACAATTTTAAAGTATATAATTCAGTGGCATTTACTACATTCACAGTGTTGTGCAACCACCACCTCTGTCTAGTTTCAAAACATTTTCATCATCCCAAAAGAAAACCCTGTACCATTATCAGTCATTCTCTATTCTTTCCAACTCATGGCTGCAGGCAACCATCAATCTGTTTTCTGTCTGTATGGATTTACCTATTCTCAATATTTCATATAAAAAGAATTGTATGATATGTAATATTTTGTGCCTAGCTTCTGTTCAGCTCCTTTACATGATTAAGTAAATTTCCATTGTATAGATACTACCATGTTTTCTTTCTCTATTCTTCCACTGATGGACATTTGGGTTTCCAATTTTTGGCTATTGTGAATAATGCTGCTACGGACATTTGTATACAGGTATTTGAGTACCTGTTTTCAATTCCTTTGGGTGTATATACCTAGGAGTGGAATTGCTGGTCATATGGTAATTTTATGCTTAACTTTTTGAGAAACTGTTAAACTGTTTCCCTCCATGGTTGTATGGTTTTGTTTTGTTTTTAATAATCCTATTCATCTGCCTATATCCTTCTCTTACCTACCTTACAAACTCTGTAAATGTGCTGACCATATCTGATTTATTTACCAGAAGCTAACAAAGTATGCACTCAAAAATATTTGTCCGCTGAACAAAGAAATGAGTGAATGTGACAAAACTGATTCACGGTTTGAACAGATCACTCAGGGTACAGGTGATGGGTGGATTGGAGGGCCAGATGTGTGACAGAAACCAGCAGGGGCTGGCTGCATTGATCAGGAGCCTGATTGGACCCATAGACTCAATGAGAGACCTTCCTCCAAGTTGTCATCACCACCAGAGCACAGCCCAGTGCACTGCATTATACCTGTTCGTTTGCTTGATATCTTCCCCCATTTGTCCGTGAGTTCTTTAAAAAAAATTTTTAATGTTTATTTATCTTTGACAGAGAGAGAGAGAGAGAGAGAGAGCATGAGCGGGGGAGAGGTAGAGAGAGAGGGAGACACAGAATCTGAAGCAGGCTCCAGGCTCCGAGCTGTCAGCACAAAGCCTGAACACATGGACACGAGGCCTGAACTCATGGACAGCGAGATCATGACCTGAGCATAAGTCAGACACTCAACCGATTGAGCCACCCAGGCACCCCTGTCCATGAGTTCTTTAGGACAGCTACCACCAAGTTTTTCTCCACTGCCAAGTAGTTGCACAGTAGATTCCCAACCAGTGTTTGATAAATGCATGAGTGAATACAAATGCAGAAACAGATAGTAACCGTATGATCTTAGTGAGGCAAGATACATAACTTTTATTTATTTATTTATTTTGAGAGGAAAGGCAGAGAGAGGGAGAGAGAGAAAGGAGAAGAGAGAATCCCAAGCAGGCTGTGCTGAACAGAGCCTGATGTGGGGCTCAATCTCACGACTGCTAGATCATGACCTAAGCTGATATCAGAAGCCGAATGCTTAACTGACTAGGCCACCCAGGTGCCCCGAGATACATAACCATTTAAGTCTTAGTTTCTTCAGTGGCAAAATGGAGACAGTGATGGTCTCTGCTTCATAGGATTTCTGTGAAGAGTAAAAGAAATGAAGCCACCAGGGCTCTTGGCACTGGGCTGCCCATGGCAGGCCCTCACTAGTGGCATCATGCACTCTTTATGACTGCAGATACAATTAGAGCAAGTGACCTTCAGGTAAAGGAATAAGATTTCAGCCTAAACGACAGAAAAACATTCTAATGTAAATTTTATGAGAGCAGGACCACATTCATGTTGTTCCCTTTGGTGTCTCCAGTGCTTGACACAGGGCCAAGACAAACTATCCACCAACTGTGTGGTAAGTGAGACTGATCAAAGGTAGAGTGGGCAGCCTGTGAGGTGAAGAGCTGTTCATCACTGGAAGTAGGCAAAAACTGTCCACCTGTCAGAGATGCCGGAGAGGAAAGCCTACTTTGGCAGGACAACAGTTGAGGTGGCCACAGAGATCCCTTGCAATTCTGGGATCGTTTATGTCCTTTGATTATCCTTATGAGACAGCAGACTCCTCCAAGGCATGAGTTGGGAACAGAGTAATACAAATATGTCTGTAGGGGTAGGGGCTACGGAACATAGTACTTTTCTCATCTTTCATGGGCAAATGAAAGCATTATAAATGCTTCAGAACTGAAAATGATGAAAGAAACTGAAATTTGGAATTTTCTGAGGAGCCTGAGTTTAAGGATGAAGGAAAGCTTCATAGAAAGTGAGGAGCCCAAATCTCAAAAAGATATCTGTACTCCCACAGATATTTGGCTATTCACAGTAACCAAAGCATGGAAACACCTAAATGTCAACAACTGAATGAATAAAGAAAATGTGGAGAGAGAGAAAGGGAAAGAGAGTGTGTACAATAGAATATTATTTGGCCTTGAAAAAGAAGGAAATTCTGCCGTTTGCAACAACATGAATGAACCTGAAGGACATAATGCTAAGCAAAATAAGCCAGACACAGACAAATACTTCATCATCTCATTTACACGTGGAATCTAAAATAGTCAAACTCACAGAAATAGAAAGTAGAATGGTTGTTGCCAGGGTCTTAGGGGAGATGGGGAAAATAAAGAGACGTTAGTCAAAAGGTACAACTTTCAGGCAAGATGAGTAAATTCTGGAGATCTAATAATGTACAGCATGGTGACAGTAGTTAAGAATATGTATTGTATACTTAAAACTTGTGAAGAGGGTAGTTCTTAAGAGTTCTTACCACACCCAACACACACAAAAAAGAAGATGACAACTATGTGATGCTAGATACCTTAATTAGCTTGGGGCGCCTGGGTGGCTCAGTCCATTAAGCATCCAACTTCCAGCTCAGGTCATGATCTCATGGCTCCTGAGTTCAAGTCCTGCGTCAGACTCTCTACTGTCAGTGCACAGCCCACTTCTGATCTTTTGTCTCCCTCTCTCTGTGCCCCTCCCTCATTCATTTCTCTCTCTCTCTGTCTCAAAAATAAATAAACATTTTTTTATAAAAGGAAAAGACATTAATACTTAAAAAGAAATTAGCTTGATTGTGGTGATCATTTCACAATATACACATGTATTAAAACCTGAAGTTGGGGCGCCTGGGTGGCGCAGTCGGTTAAGCGTCCGACTTCAGCCAGGTCAAGATCTCACGGTCCGTGAGTTCAAGCCCCGCGTCGGGCTCTGGGCTGATGGCTCAGAGCCTGGAGCCTGTTTCCGATTCTGTGTCTCCCTCTCTCTCTGCCCCTCCCCCGTTCATGCTAAAGAAAAAAAAACAAAAACAAAAACAAAAAAACCCTCAAGGTGTACACCTTAAATATATACAATTTTTTTAATTTTTGAATTATACCTCAAAAAAGTTGGTAAAAAAAGCTAGGAGTCTAAGACTCAGATAATTGTGTTTTACTTAATGTACTTCTCTTTAGCAATTGCAAAAACTTTTGTATTTTCCAATTGGAAAATTCTAAATACTATTTTCACTGTGGCAAATACACATGACATGAAGTTTGCCATTTTAACCATTTTACCATTTTTAAGCGTACAGTTCAGTAGCATTAAGTACATCTGCATTGTTTTACAACGTTCCATTTCCAGAACTTTTTCATCATCCCAATCTAAATATTTTTAAATATTAATGTCACCTAAGAACTCTGTTTAGAAGCTGGAGGTAAACTGTTGATTAGCAATTAGCTTTTTTAAAGAAAGGAAAACCAATAGAATGTCATTTTTCCAGGATCATCTCATGAAGTTGCTTTCCTATGAAATAAAGTAGCTGAGTTTCCTGAGTAGAAAAGGTGCTTTCAAGAGATTTTCTGTCTGTAAACTGATTTACATGTCATTTGTTTGAGGGTTCAGAAAGATTAAAAACCATATAGATTTCATGCATAGCAATCACAGTGGTCAATAAACACCCTCAAAACCTTCTATTCCAAGAGTCAATAATTGAAGCTTTCCAAGCATACTATGGTGCTACTACAGAAATGAAAATCACCAGCCTCAGATAATTTGGTTACTTACTTTATTTGCACCTATTTGAACTACAGTTGCTTTCACAGCAGGAGTGTAATAACTCCACCTGCCCATATCAGAATCTCATAGATAAGACATGAAATCCATTAACAAGACATCATTTTTTGACCACAGAGGTAGTTTCTGTTTCTTCTCCAGCTGACCTTGCAGGGCATCCCCAAGCAGCTCTGTGTGCTGGGCTCCACTGGCGGGCATCAGTGCGGAGGTGGGCCTGGGCCTCACACATCACATAGTCACCCAGGGGCTCCACCAACACAGCCAGCGACAGTTCCTGACGACAATGCACAGCAGGCCCACTCAGACCAATTATAATCAGCTCATATTGCTTTATTTTACTTCCTTCATTTGATAGAAACAGAATCACCAAATTCAAAAGATTCCTGAGCAGCAAAGGTGAATGAAACAAATAGCTAATATCAGACACCATTTCAAAAGCAACTGCCTGGGTAAGCCTGTAATAGAATTTCCCAGTTTACAACTCTGAAGATGAAGAAGGCAAGTTACCATGGAAACAAATACTCTCTTTAAAGAGAGACAGGCTCCTCTCTTAGTCTGAGTTCTTTCCAGAAGGGAGGAGGGGAGAGAAGGGGAAAGGCAGGCCAAGGATCTTCAGCGAGAACAATGAAGTTTTCTTCTCATTATTGAAATACTACCTATGAAATTTGCTTCCAGGGTCAGCTCAAGACTGTTTCATTTTCTTGGCTGTACTATTTAAGAAAAAAACAACCTCAAGTCAGATATTTTAAGATGTGTAAGCAAAATGACACTGTATTGATCATTTCTTTAATTTTTTTTCTTTATTCAATTAATGACACATGTTGGTGACAAGTGAAAACCAATGGCAATACATGACATAAAAGGCAAAGAGGACTCACTTTTCCTGGTCTCCTTATTCACAGCACACACTCTCTGAGGTAACACTCTGTTGGCTGTTTTTCTCTGCCTCTGCCTTGTTCATGGATATATACAGTAAAAAGATTATATACAAACAGAAACCCCAATTTAAAAATGGGCAAAGAACTTAAATAGCTATTTCTGCAAAGAAAATATACAAATGACCGGTAAGCGCATGAAAAGATACTCAACATTAATGATTAGGGAAATGAAAATGAAAATAAGATCTCATGGGACGCTCGGGTGGCTCAGTCAGTTAAGCATCCGGCTCCTGATTTCAGCTCAAGTCAGGATTTCAACTTGTGAGTTCAAGCCCCATCGGGCTCTGTGCTGACAGCATAGAGCCTGCTTGGGACTCTGTCTCCCTCTCTCTCTGCCCCTCCCCACTCGTACTCTCTCTCTCAAAAATAAACATTTTAAAAAATGCTTAAAATGAGATCTCGCAATAAGATACCACTTTACACCTACTAGGGTGGCTGTTATAAAAAAATAAAAAACAAAATTCCAAAATAGCAAGTATTGTTGAAGATGTGGAGAAATTGGAACTATTAGGCACTGCTGGTGGGAATGTAAAACAGTACAGTCACTCTGAAAAACGGTATGGTACCTCCTCAAAAAATGTAAAACAATTACCATATGTTCCCCAGATTCTACTTCTGGGTATATAACCAAAAGAGTTGAAAACAGGGATTTGAACAGATATTTGCACACCTATGTTCATAGCAACATTATTTACTATTGCGTTATTTTTTTTTTTAATTGAAGTGTAGCTGATACACAATGTTACCTTAGTGTCAGGTGTACAACAGTGATTCGACAAGTCTGTACGTTACGCTACAATGGCATTGTTTACAACACTTGGGTAGAAGCAACCCCAAGTGTCCATTGACAAAGGAGTGGATAAATTGCAGTATACACATACAACGGAGTATTATTCACCCTTAAAAAGAAAGGAACTACTGACACATCTACAATATGGTTGAACCTGTAAGACATTATGCTAAGCGATGTAAGCCAGTCATAAGAAGACAAATACAGTCATAAGAGGACGAATACTATATGATTCTACTTGTATGAGGTGCCTCAAAGAGTGAAACTAATAGAGACAGAAAGCAGAAGGGCAGTTGCCAGGGGCCAAGGGAGGGTGGGAGGAGGAAGTTAGTGTTAAAATGGGTACAGTTTCAGTTTGGGAAGGTGGAAAAGTTTTGGAGATGAATGGTGATGATGATTACACAACAGTGTGCATATACGTAATGCCATAGAACTGTCCACTTAAAAATGGTTAAAATGATGTGTGTCAATTATATTTTTTAAAAAGTCCAAAAAGTGGTTAAAGTTGTAAATTTTGTTCTGTTTATTTTAACACGATAACAATTGTTGTAGTTATGTGTCATGTACAGGGGTGTTTTTGTATATATAGTTGACCCTGGGATAACACAGGTTTCAACTATGCTGGTCCACTTATACGTGGATTTTTTTCAGTAAATACAGTACAGTACTATAAATGTATCTTCTCTTCTTATGATTTTCATTTTTTTTTTGAGTTTATTTCTTTCTTTTCAGAGAGAGAGAGGGAGTGCATGTGCAAGCGGGAGGTGCAAAGAGAGAGAGGGAGAAAGAGAGAATCCCAAACAGGCTGTCACCTCAAAGCCCGACATGGGGCTCTAACTCACAAACCGTGAGATCATAACCTGAACCGAGATCACGAGTCGGACACTTAACTGAGCCACCCAGCGCCTCTCTTCCTTATGATTTTCTTAATAACATTTTCTTTTCTCTAGCTTATTATAAGAAAATAGTATATAAAATATATATAACATATAAAGTATGTGTTAATCAGCTGTCTTATCAGTAAGGTTTCCAGTCATCAGTAGGCTATTAGTAGTTAAGTAGTTAAGTTTTGGGGGAGTCAAAAATTGTATTTGGATTTTCAACTGTGTGGTGGGTAGAGTGGCGCCCCAGCACCCTGCAGTGTTCAAAGGTCAACTGTATAGATGTCTTAGATAGATAGATGATAGATAGGTAGATAGATAGATAGATAGATGGATGTACAGGGATTTCATTTTTGCTCTTATTAATTTTACTAAAAGAGAATTATACTACACATATATTCCTTATGTAACAAACCCCAAACCTTAAAGATATAAAGCAATCATTTAAGTCTGCTTAGAATTAGGGATTCTATGAATCAGGAATTTAACCCAGGCACAGAAGGGACAGCCATCTCTTCTCCATGGTGTCTGAGGCCTCTGGAAAGACTCAAAGGCTAGAGCTTGGATCATCTGGAGGCTTCTTCACTTACATGTCTGGCAGTTGGCAGTCCTCACTTGGACTGTCAACTGCAGTATCTCCACATGGGCTGCTTCTTTGAACTTCCTCATAGCATGGAAGCTGAATTCAAGCAGTGGTGTCCCACGAAAGGAGACCAGAGGTATGTGGCATTTTTATAATCTAGCCTCAAAGGTCACATTGAGTCCTACTATATTCAGTTGGTTGAGGCCATTACAAAGATCTGTCCACGTTCAAGGGTAAGGGCTCAATGGGAGGAGTGTTAGGTCCTTTGTAAGAGGAGTCTGTGGGAGGGACGATGTTGTTGTGGCCATCTTTGGCAAACGCAGTCTGCCACAACTTTCATTAGTTTGCAGCTTGCTTTTACAGCATTTCAGTGGCATCCCCAAAAGTCAGTAAAGATGTCATTCTTCAGTTTTTCTCACTTATTTATAATTACAAAATTACTCTCAATTCCAAAAGTAATATAAATGTAGTAACAAAACTTGGAAAACATGTACGAGAAATTTATCCACAACCCCCCTCCATCAACCAATCACTGTAATTATTTTTAGTCTTTTTATTCCATAATTTTCTTATAATGTACACAAAGTTTTGTGTTCATTTTTATTTTCCCTTAGCATATAAGCCCCCAAATTCACATCTCAGTACTAAGTTATCTTCTTTATTTTTCTTGTGCGGACAAAGCAAAAATAAGAGTAGGGTACATGACGGGACAAAATCTTCAGCTCAGAACATTTGCTTAGCCTAATCCTACGTAAAACACATTGTGAAATATCACACCAAGGTTTCAAGTCCCCCATCTTCTTTAATGAACAGAAAGCTGAGACACACCGATTCTGGAAAAGTCGTGGCTTGAGTGAGTTGTGCCTCTGGCCACAGTTATGTAAGGAGCAAGCTAGTGACTGGCCTGGGTGTGGAATGCCAGCACGCAAGCTTTCACTCACTTTTCTGCTCTGAAAGCTTGGCTTCAGGATTTCAACAAATACATGAATCTAGCATATTAAAGATTGACAAAGCCCATATCTCCTAAACACTATTCCAAACTATTGCTCATTGTCACTGGCCTGCTGTGAAATGAGAAAAAAATAAAATAAAAATGTGGTGAGTTTTTCATAAAGCTAAATGTATTCAGGTTTTTAAAAGTTGAGCTTTTTTCTGGGATTTTTAAGTTTATTTATTTTGAGAGAGTGAGAGTGCGAGCAGGGGAGGGGCAGAAAGAGAGGGAGAGAAGGAGAGAGAGAATCCCAAGCAGGCTCCATGCTCAGCCTTACATGGGACTCGATCTCACCACAGCGAGATCATGGCCGGAACCACTATCGGGAGTCACATGCTTAACCGACTGAGCCACCCAGGCGCCCCAGGATCATTTTTTTTTTTAATGTCAACATTTATTTTCTTTTATGACATAATTCTGATCATAGATTTTCTTAGCATTTCCGGTCAGCAAAATAAAACTGGCAATTCTAAACTTAGTCACCCTTAAATTTAGTTTCAACTATTTTACTGCTCTGTGACATCCCACCTCTAGGAAACACTGATCTAGTCCAGACTGCCTCCTTATGAAGAACCTTAGAGTGTGATGTATATGTCGAAAGGGATTACATTCCAAGGTAAGGGAAAGACTGGTTGACATGAGAAAGGCATCCAGAATGCTGAGCTGTGCCTGTGACAGTCCAGTTGTGTGCATCAAGCAGGTCAGTTATGCTCAGAGCCTCTTACCTCAGCCATCAAGACCTGTCAATACTGCCACCTTCTCCCTGCAGGGTGAGGAGAGGTGAGAGCCTTAATTGTGCAAAGTGCAGAATGCTGTGTCAGTGCTGAGCGTCTCATTGTGCTGTGTCCTGTCCTCCTTGGAGCTTTCCTTCACAAAGGCTGCTCAGCAGGTCCTGCAATGGCTGGTGGAAAAATGTGAGGAGAGATCTTCTAACATACCAAGTATTTCCCTGGGAGTTCTTAATTTCAATGAGAAGAATATTCTCTAATTAAAATGCCGCTGCAGATTTTTTTAAAAAACAAATTGCCATCTAATTTCCCTTTGATCTGCTTTTTCCATTTGGGTTGCAAGGTTTAACGGAATTTTCCCCAAATGCTTTGAGTCTGCAGTAATTTTATTCCATTCTTATTAAATTTCAAAGGACAAAATGCGAAGCCACTAGAACAATCTAAGCTTTTTACCACTTCACTTATGCAATAAGCATTTTCAGGGCATTCTACAATGTGCCTAACATTGCGTTAGGTGTTGGAGATACAAAGATGAATAAATACAACTTGGCCCTTGCCCTCACTTGGTTCAGTGTTTCCAGGACATGATCAAGCCATAAACAGAACAGTTGTAATGCAGTGTGGTGATGATAGAAATACCATCACACAGCCGTGGTATAAAATCCCTTGCTGGAGCAAAGTGGTGACTCTGGCTGAGCTGACACTTTTTTATTTTATTTTTAAAGATTTTATTTTTAAGTAATCTCTACCCCCAACGTGGGGCTCGAACTCACAACCCCAAGACCAAGAGTCACATGTTCCTCTGATTTAGCCAGCCAGGCACCGCTGAACTGACACTTTAAATGAAACTTAAAGGAAGACTAAAATTCAGCCAAATGAGGGCATGAAGGCATCCCAGGCAGATGAGACAACATAAGCTTAGGTGCTGGAGTGGGAAATGGCATGGCCCCTGTTGCGTGTGTGCGTTTGTGTAATGTATGTCCATGTATGTGTATGCATCTATGTATATGTGTAAGCCTTTGTGTGTGTGATTGTGTTTCCATGATAGGAAAGAGCTGGGGTAGGTATGGTCTGGGAGACTTAACTGAATGGCATGAGGACAAGCAAGTTAATCTGAAGCAAGGTAGCAGCATCCTGTATTATTTGTGAGTCTTAGAGAAAGATTCAAAGGTTTGCTTTAGACAACCTAGAAAGAAGACAAAACTGACTCCTACACAGATAAGTTTGACTTTAATGCATGTTTTGAACATACCTATTGGGTTCTCTGTTAGAAACCAATGCTCATCCCTGGAATGAAGAATCCACGTTCTCTTGTAGAAATGATTCCCGGGGCCCTTGTCTTCTGGGGTCCAGTCCAGGGCTTCTCAAGCCTTGATATCCACCAGAAAATGGATCACCAGAGATCTTGTTAAGACGCAGATTCTGATTCAGTGGCCCAGGATTCTGCATTTCTAACAAGCTTGCAGGTGATGCCAGTGTTGCCGTCCACAGAGCGCACTTTGAGCAGCAAGGTCTAACGCCCTTGTTGCCACAGTCTTGATCACCTGCCCCCTAGACAGACCACAGGGGATTCACTGCCCTCAAATCAGTAGTTAATAGTGCAGAGTCTGCCAGAGGACTGTGTTTGGATCTTCCATGTCCCTGGGATATAGGGTCCCATCCAGCAGGAGTCCGGACCCTCAGGTTTGGCTCCACAGACCTAGAAGTGAAGGGTGGAAGTGGGGCAGAAGGAGGTAGAAATGGTGGTGTGGGGCTGGCACTTGCTCAGAAAATAGGCCCAAATACCTCCTGTGACAGGAATTAAGATACTAAGGGGCACAGAAAAAGGAAGCGGGAGCTCAGGCAAGGGTCCGGGCAGAGCCTCAGAGTCGGGGGGGGGGGGGGGTACTTATCACTGACTATGTGCCAGGGACCATATTTAAGCTTTACACAGCTGTCACATTTCATCTTCAGCCAAAGCCTGTGCAAAGCAGACTATAAATCCCTGCTAACAAATGAGGAACTTGAAGTGCAGAGCATTTCACTAAATCACCCAACCTCCCAGTGGGTGCACAGTGAAGCCAGAGTTCACACTCAGGTCTGCATGATCTGAAAGCCCAAGGCCTTCAGGTACCCTACACTGTCCACTGTCCTTTATGATGATGAATGAGATCCAGGCTCTGTGCTTGGGCCAGAGGTATCCTAGGGTAGGGCCTTTTGATACATATATATTTTACATTTTATTTATTTATTTTGAGCGAGCATGAATGGGGGAGGGGCAGAGAGAGAGGGAAAGAGAGAGTCCCAAGCAGGCTCCGCACCAGCAGCACAGAGCTCAATGCGGGGATCGATCCCAGGAACCGTGCAATCATGACCTGAGCTGAAACCAAGAGTCAGACGTTCAACTGACTGAGCCGCCCGGACGCCCCAGTTCTTTTGATGTTTGCTTCCAAAGCAAGTAATGTCAGCCATGAATAAAGGAAGGCCTAGGCCAGGAGGAAGCAGGTCAGAAGCTGGCATCTAAAGGAGATCTAGTATCTGGAATTGGACCACTCCTGGAAAAAGAGTCCTGGCTCTCTTGGTACCTCTGCCTCCATGTAGCCCAGCCAGGGGTAAGAGCCCTCATGATCTTGGCATGTGCACAGGTAGACAAACTGGTTGGTGGGCATCTTCAAGCCATCTTGAATAGAAACTTCGGCAGCAATGGAATATTTACCTGAAAAAAAGGAGACAGAGCACTGAAGGGGAAGACTATAATATGACAAAGGGTCTTGGACACAGTAAGTAATCAATAACTGGAAGCTGCTATTATAATTATTGCTGCTGTTGTGGGATGCTGATTCTGTGCCTTGCTAGAGAACCAGCCAGTGAGCTACTAGCAACATCCCCAGGGATAATTCAATATAAAATATTCTCAGGAAACTAAAGCCTAAATGAGTCCACCCAAACGGCCAACAAACCAGCTGAAGCTTCATAAAGTACCCTGGGGAGCCTGTACCTCACCATCACTAATATCGAGATACCAGGATGCTGTTGGCACGTGGTCACCACTCATGCCCACCTGTTCCCCCTTGACCTCATAGTTCAAAAATTGTGATTCTAGATTCCCAGAGCCTTCCTGTAGAATGAGCCTCAGACTGCAGTTGAAAGACCCACTCTTTTCCCTCGCTGACACAGTCTCCTCATGTGTGAAATGGAGATGATCCCCCCTGTGCAGCCTACCACAGGACCAAGTGGGAGGAAGTGTGTGAAAGGAGGTAAAAGACTGCTGAGCCCTACACACGTAGAGGCAATGACATTACTCTGCCGACGTCTTGCCATTGTCTTCTGACTTGGGAACTTATTCTTTATTAAAATCTTATTACTGCATCTTCTGTGTTTCCTCTAAACTGCCTCAGATCCTTTGAGGAACCAGGAAGCATTTACTTCCATACATACCTCCATAAAATAAAAGCCTACATGGAACCTAAAAGCAAAATTACATGTATAGATCTAAATGCACCTGTATGTGTATAGACACATGTATGTATGCACACAGTCACACAGATATTTATACAGATGTATATATAATAATGTAATATATATAATTTGTCCTCTGTACCAAACTCAATGGACCACCTATGAAAGCAGGTGAAGCATTTGCACAATTAGTTTAAAAGATTATTATTTAAAAACAGAAATAGCTTGGAGCAGATGACTGAAAATCATTCCTTGCTGCAACTCAAATGAAAGAAGCTGTCTGATTCTTGGAAATTTAGACATTCTTCTAGTAATTTAGCACAAAAATGGGCCTGGCTCAATCTGCTCTTCACATTTTGGTAATTTAAAAGGACATAACGGAATTTTATTTTAATGGTAATTGCAAACTCATGCAGAAAATGTAAATGCACATTTCATGATTAGCTTACAGCATAAACTATGGCTTCTATTAATGTATTCCAATTTGTAATTCTTTTCACAGTATGAGATTTGAAAGCTGTGATTAAAATTAATTAGGTTAAGTAAAGTTTATCCCCCCTGAGCACTTCTATTGGGAAAAAGCAAGAGGAAAATGTGAACTACATCTGGCTCTGCAGGAAGCTGTGTCTTCACAAGAAGTCGGCTGACTTCTTTTCTCCCCACAGAGGTTGCATGCTGCTTATTTGGCATATCTCAAGCACCATGTATCTCCTCAAGGAGCTAATTGAACCATTAAACTATTCTGTGCTGCCTCACAAAAACCAGACTGTGACTACATCATCTTCAAATAAAGATATAAGGTAGATCCATCCATTGTTCACCCACCATCAATCGCCCCCCCCCCCCCCAAACGTACATCTGGTAAACCTAAGGTAATGCTGGCCACCCAGAATTCAGTACCATAATTGCTATGAAGGAGGTGCCAAATGAGGGAACAATAAAGATAATGACTAATTAACACCTGTACTGAGCTCTCTGCTTTGCACATTGTCTTAAATATTACCTCAGTTGATCTCCTCAACAATCCTGACAAGGAATCCTTACTGTTCTCCCATTTCACAGATGAGGATACTGAATGTTAAGTGAGGTGCCCAGGATCAAAAAGTGCTGGAGATTAGACCCAGTTCTAATCCTACACTCTTAAGGCTCAGCTCTATAGCTACACAAAACAAAATAAAACAAAACTTTCAACCTATGTCTGGCCTATGTTTTCATAATAAGTTGAAATTCATTACTATCATATGATAGGAACTAAGGCAAAGGTTAACAGCTCCAGAATGGTGTCACACATCCCAATAAGTAAAGCATAAATTTGGACGGCCAAGACAAAACAAAGTGAAAAACTGACCAGGGACACTCTACTTCTATTTCTTCTTCTTCTTCTTGTTTTTTTGTTTATTTTTTTTTTTTTGTTTATTTTTTTTATTTTGAGAGAGAGTGAGCAAGAGTGAGCACATCCATGTATGGACAGGGGAGGGGCAGAGAGAGAGAGGGAGAGAGAGAGAGTCCCAAGCGGGTTCCACACTGTCAGGACCGAGCCCAACTCGGGGCTCAAACTCAACAGATCATGACCTGAGCCAAAATCAAGAGTCAGGCACTGAAATGACTCAACCACCCAGGTGCCCCAGCAACACTCTACTTCTTACTGAAGACACTGGTGAGAGCTCTCCAGTCTTCCTTTACTGTCCCTTTGCTTGATACCCAGCAACTTGTGCTGCCCCTGGCTCATGTCCTTTGGCACAGTGAAGTCCCAGTTCTGGTCCAAGCCCTGGGAATACAGACACGGACAACATACATCCTGTGTCTGAGCTAGCCTGTCCTATGTCCTGAGTCATGATAGACCCTCATCTCCTGTGACTCATCCTACCTGGCTCTCCACACTGTCAGCCCTGACTGTATCCAGGGAGGACTAGCTGGTCCTATCTGTTAACTTGTGATGATGTGAATTAAAATGCCATCAAGGAAGGAAAAAAAATACCTCTCCCTGGGCATTTTAGTTTTTTTAAAAAACTTTTTTAAGGGGCGCCTGGGTGGCGCAGTCGGTTAAGCGTCCGACTTCAGCCAGGTCACGATCTCACAGTCCGTGAGTTCGAGCCCCGCATCAGGCTC